GGGCACAGTCAGGCACATCAGTTGTATTTTTACAGCAGATCATGGGTGTTTCTAGCGTGTAGCCGCTGTAATTTCTGAACTGCCAGTTGGGAGCATTATCAACGGAGAAATCGTTGTAGTCGTCAATACCACAACATTGTTGCTGAAATAGATATGATTGAAAATAAACAATTTGTACATATTTACTGCAGTCAGGAGTGTTGGCTGCGGGGATGCTGAGTTTCAGACATATCTTCTGTGTCCCTTTCACCAACATTCACCACATAGTCTTGAACATAAGTCGTAAAGTAACAAGGTTGGTGCCAAGGGACGAAAATGTTACAAACGCATTGCCTTAGTGCAGAAAACTTCAAAGCAGTTTTGTAATGAGGCGTGTTCAACTCATGGACCAGATGAACTTACTACTTTCGCGAATTTCGTGACAATATTCGTACGGGAAGGAACACAGAAATATAAGAACTTACAGACGACATTAAGAAATTTAAACCCAGAGTTCCAGCACTGGTTCCATTGATTCCTGTATATTCATTCTTTATTACATCTTGCAGGCCAGTCTTTATCGTCGAGTCGAACTGGAAAATATAAACATTATAGTTTTATAGTGACCATAGTTGAAAATCATTCACTGTACTATAGTCAAGTCGACCTAAAATACGGTTGTATAGTAACGGTAGTTGAAAATCATTCACTGTACTATAGTCAAGTCGACCTAAAATACGGTTGTATTGTAACGGTAGTTTTAAATAATTTACTATAGTCAAGTCGACCTAAAATACGGTTGTATTGTAACGGTAGTTTTAAATAATTTACTAAAGTCAAGTCGACCTAAAAGACGGTTGTATTGTAACGGTAGTTGAAAATCATTTACTGTACTATAGTCAAGTCGACCTAAAATACGGTTGTATAATAACGGTAGTTTTAAATAATTTACTAAAGTCAAGTCGACTCCGCCTAAAATACGGTTGTATAGTAACGGTAGTTGTAAATCATTTACTATAATCAAGTCGACCTAAAATACGGTTTTATAGTAACGATAGTTGTAAATCATTTACGATAGTCAAGTCGACCTAAAATACGGTTGTATTGTAACGGTAGTTGTAAATCATTTACTATAATCAAGTCGACCTAAAATACGGTTGTATTGTAACGGTAGTTGTAAATCATTTACTATAGTCTAGTCGACCTAAAATACGGTTGTATAGTAACGATAGTTGTAAATCATTTACTAAAATCAAGTCGATCTAAAATGCGGTTTTATAGTAACGATAGATGTAAATCATTTACTGTAGTCAAGTCGATCTAAAATACGGTTGTATAGTAACGATAGTTGTAAATCATTTACGATAGTCAAGACGACCTAAAATACGGTTGTATTGTAACGGTAGTTGTAAATCATTTACTATAGTCAAGTCGACCTAAAATACGGTTGTATTGTAACGGTAGTTGTAAATCATTTACTATAGTCAAGTCGACCTAAAATACGGTTGTATTGTAACGGTAGTTGTAAATCATTT